CTGCTCTCAGCCCTTTTCATGGTGAAAAAAGTTCTGCATATTTGTTTATCCATTCATGCACTGCCTTGTTAATAAGAAAAAAGAATGGTGTTTGGGTTGCTTTGAAAGTGCAAATTTTTTTTGGGGGGGGGGCTGATTGGTGACATCACAGCAGGCCAGCCAATCAGTGCCGGGGGGCTTCCACTCTGACCTCCTTGGAGGGCCCTTTTTCTTCCTGAACGGGGCGAGCACAGGGGGGCTGCCTCCAAAGCAAGCCCTCCGGTTCAGAACATGGCACCTGCTTGCACAAAGTGCCCCAAGGCCTTGGCTGCGGCCTGGAGGACGGACGCGTGGTCACAAAAGCATAAAGCGGGTAAGGTCTTGTGCTAACGACGGACCTCTCCCCATCTCTTTCCCCTCCGCTCTCCACAGCCGCTTGGAGAACGCAACAACGGGCAGTACAGCCACATCGGAGCGGCCAAGGCCCGCCGCCGGTGAGAGTGGGGACAGACTGCCTGGCTCGGAGTGGCTGCCGCTCGCATCTGCTCAGTGGGACTGCTGACCGTCCTTCCTTTGTGCGCGGGGGGGGGAGCTGCTGGAGAGCAGGCGGTTTCACGCAGCCACGACAGAGGTCCATTCAAGGAGTTCTGGTCTCTCAGCGTGCTCCGTTTTCCATCACCTCTCTGGCTTCGCAGAGCCAAGCAGTGGGCGGGCTGCCGGCTCCGTGCTACTGACCCAGGCCCGGATTTGGGCTTCTCTGTGTCTAAAGAAGAGGAAAGGCAGAGCTGTTCCTGGGAGCTATTCATTTGTCCAGCCCTGTGTGCCTCTGCTTTCTCCTACGATGAGAATCTTTGGAATCTTCCCTGAGTTTCAGAAGAGGACTAAGAAGTCTTGTGGGGTATCTCTGAACATACGGTGTGGTTTTCGCAAGGGGGGCTGGTTTAGTGGGGGGGGGGGCTCTCCCATTGCAGAATATGGCACCACATCTTGAACCCAGAGCCTGGTCTTCACATCCCTTGGTGGAGGACAGACTTGAATGCCGCTCCCATCCCCACCCCCGTGTCTTTGCAGCCCCTCCGGTGCCTCAATAAACGCTTTGCTGGCTTGATTCCAAAGGTGTCCTCTGAAAGGAGCTGTGTGAGTTTGAGCTGAGATGTGAGGGCTGCCTCAGAGCGCTGGCGGGCGGATGAGCTGCTGCTGCTCTCCCCCCCCCCACGCAGCTGCACTTGCTCCGACCACGACCACATCCCGTGAACAAAGGCAGGGCCCGGGGCTGAACGTTCTTAGGAGAGAGAGACCACAATCCTCCCGCCCCCACCACCACTTCCTGTGCCAGTCTGCCTCCTGCAATGGAGGTCTCAGCGCGGAACCCCTTCAACCCAGCAGCTGTGGGGCAGGACGACCCTTTGGCCGGGGCTTGGCCTGGTTTCTTCCTCTCTCGAAGCTTGCCTGCAGGGGAATAGGCCTTGCTTGGGAGCCAGTTTGGTGTCGTGGTTAAGTGCGCGGACTCTAATCTGGGAGAACCGAGTTTTATTCCCCACTCCTCCACTTGCACCTGGCTGGATGGCCTCTGGCAAGCTGTAGCTCTGATAAGAGCTGTCCTTGAAAAAGAGCAGTTTCTGTCAGAGCTCTCTCAGCCCCACCTACCTCACAGGGTGTCTGTTGTAGGGAGGGGAAGGGAAAGGAAAGGAGTTTGTAAGCCGCTCTGAGACACCTTCGGGTACTGAAGGGTGGGGTATAAATCCAATCTCCTCCTCCTCCTCCTCCTCCTTCTTCTTCTGCCCCCCCCCACACCCTCCGTCAAAGCTTGGGGCTGGCGTGAGCTCTCCTGGCCATGCACACACTCTCCAGCAGCAAGATGTTGCCCAGCTGTGGGGACAGTGGGGGGAGGTCTTGTGCAACAATGGGAGGGGGGGCCTCTTCCTGAAGAAGACCTGTGCTGTCACCTCTGACCATCTGCTGAGGCTGCAGGTGTGTCAAAGCAGACACCAGCGAGGGGGGGGCTTTCTTTGCCCCCAGCAGTAGTACCAGCCCCCCCCCCCAAACACACACAAATAGTCCTTGGCAGTGCAGGGCCAAAGGAACTCCAGCGAGCACTTTCAGATTACGGCCGGGACCCGAGGCCTCAGAGGACAGGCCCTGGGGGACAGCCGAGTTCTGCAGGAGGCAAGTAGCAGCGGGGGGTGGGGGGGTGGCATTTCCAGGCAGCTCAACTGCGGGATGGATGCCATTTTTCGAGTGGCACCTTGAAGGGGGGAGCCCACCCCATGTTGCCCGCCACCAGCAAGCCCCTTTCATCACCATGTTAACCAACAGTTTTGTAGTTCTTACGGGGGTCCCTTAGTCCTCTGTACAAACAAGCTCAATCCCATTTGAAAGGAACTAAACCAAACACCATTTGACTACTTTATGGCCGCTGCACAAAAACAAAGATTTTAAGGCAAAAAGGTCCATCAATTCATTCCTCTTCTTCATCTAGTTCCTCTGCATATTTTGCTGCAGTGCTTCACGATACAAGATCCCATCAGCCTCACCCATTTCCAAGAGCAGTATAATTACAGGCCCTTTTGGCCAGTTCTCATCTGACTAGAGCAGTCCCGCACGGCAGGGAACCAAACATCCCTATTCTGTAGACTCACCCGGAGGAGGAGGAGGAGGTAGGGGACCACTTGGAAAAGAAAAGCAGGAGAGGCCAAAGAACCTCTCTGGCTCCTACTTCCAGCAGCCTTCTAAAGGTCTCCTCCCTCCCTCGCCACCCAATGAGAAGGGAGCCCTCACTGGAGAAGAAGGCCCTGAGGCTGGGAAAGATCGAAGGTCAAAGAAGACGAAGGGGACGGCAAAGGATGATGTTGTGTGCTAACCAAGACCGAAAACCTGGTCAAACTCTCACACGTGGTCATGCAAACTAGCAGAGCTTCGCGACCGGACACAATAGTGAGAGCAGATCCTAGAAGGGGCCTATGGGTGTGGGTGCACTGTGAATAAACCAATCACGTGGGTGTGTTGGGTGTGGCATGGGACTCGCTTTTAAGCCGGCTCTGGCCCCTGCGAGGGCATCTCGGTTTCCTCCTGCCTTTAATAAAATATGAGCTAATCGCAACAACGCGTCTGGACCCAGTACTTTACAGATGAGATGATCAGACAGTGTCATTGATGCAACGAACACGAAATGGAGCAGACTCCGGAGCACAACAGAAGACAGGAGGGCCTGGCGTGGGCGGGTCCATGGGGGTCACGAAGAGTCAGACTCGGCTGTGTGACTGAACCGCCGCCACCACCCTCTCTCGCCAGGGGATCCCTAATGCCAGCTTGATCCAAAAGAAGCATCTGGGCCAATTCTACAACAGTTTGGTCACGGAAGGTCCTTGTTGGGCATCGAAGACCACTTTGCAGACCGTTGGCCTTTGAGCACCAGGGGATTTCTGATAGCTGGACCCTCAAGCCAAAATAGCTTGGCGACCCAAATAGGGACCAACACTGGTAAATGTTCAGACTTTTGGGTCACCCAGACCATTCCAGGAACGACACAGTGCACTTCCAGGAGTTTCCCCGTGTGTCGCTGAGGCCTGGAGGCCACCCGGCTCTGCTCACCTGGCCGAGTGCAGGAGCCAACCGTTCAGCCGTTCAGAACAAGGCACGAGACGGCTGCATCAAGCGCCCTCGGAGCCAATCTGAGACTCTCCCAAGCTAGTCTGAAGACTTGTGCCAGGCAGCGTTTAATGCAAAAGGGCCTTTAACAAAGATTGACAAATGCAGGGGGGGGAGGAGGTGTTCCCAGGGCAACGGCTGGGCACTCTACTGGCCAATCTCTGATATGCACTGCTGTGTCTCCAAAATGTGCCGGTGGAGTACCCCGGTGGCACTGCACGGCAGCTGGGTCCAGGCATGGTAAAGCCACGGAGCAATGCTGGTGTGAGCTATGGTACCAGCAGGGAAAGGGGCAGACCCAGGGGCACAGCCGGAGTTTGTTGGTTTCCTAAGCCATCCCAGCCCAGAAACACCCCCCAAACTGGTGGAAAGTTACCCCACGAAAAGCCACAGCATTGCCCGTAGGTGCCCATGCAATGGAGAAAAGTGCCTCCCACAGGTGTGGTGCCCACCTACAAGCACCGGCAGAGCACAGGATGCCAGCTACAGCCACCACCAGTTACCACCCTCCCCTGCACCCAAGCACAGCCCCACCCAGCACCACATAAACTCCAGCCGTGGCACCATGAGAGGCAGTCGGACGGGAGCACAGCCCAGGACTCTATATCTCAGAGGCCCCCCTGTTACACACCGTTCAAGTGCACAGCATTGCACTTTGGTGGCGAGAGAGGCACAGAGAGGGTGCTTGGCACCACTGAGGGACCGCCTAACACCAACACTGTTAGCCAAATTGCCTTTAATTATTAGTTAGTCTAAGTGAAGTTATGATTATTAATTGGCAATAGGCAAATTAGGGTTCTCACCAATTTATACAGAAGTCCCACCCTTGCTGTAAGTATCTGAACAAACACAGAGACTGGATTCAGAAGAATATAATGTCTCTTCACTGGGAGATATATATCATTCAAACAATACACAAACACACACACATTTATAGAACTAAGGAAGCAGAGGTGATTGACGGCTTATAGAGGTAGCTTATAGAGGGGTGATACAACCTGTTCAGATGTGCAGAGGTCCATGGATGGTGGCCTAAACTCAGAGAGTTTAGGGGTGGCCTGCCATGTTGGGTTATGGCAGAGAACACACAGTCTGAGGCCATAGTTGCACTGGGATATACCCTATGGAAGACAATGCAGACCAATGCCTGGTCCTGGGGGCTGGTCTCAGGTAAGAACAATAGATTTCCTGGGCCAATAATGAGTCCCAGGGGTGTGTGGCCTCAGGATGGGCAAGGCCTAGATGTGACCAGTGAACTTCCAGAGGGGCAGGGTCTAGATTTAACAATAGAAGCCAGATGCTGGGTGGCTAGTTAAATGGATTATCTGAGCACTAATGGCTCTGGCCAGGGTAAACAAAAGGTGGGAGACGTCCCTGATTAGCGTCAGGGAGGATCATTAATAATTTGAATGCTTGTCCCTGTATCTTGATGGACAGAGTAGGAAAGATAAGTATTCAGACAAAGAATTAAATAGACTTTAGAAATGTAGATACTTTACCTGCTAGAACTCATTGTCATTCCATAAGCATAATCTCTGCTGGGTGGAGGGGGAAGACTGGAGGCTTGCTCTGAGGTTGCCTGTCACCTGAAAATGGAGTCCCCTTTTTCAGAGCTGTGGCTAGCTCTGTGTTTCAGAACCAAGAGTGCCTTCCTTGGCCTGAATTTTGTGGGCCTCTGGATCAGGTTAGAAGTGGGGTGCCCTTGCTATGGGGCTACCCAATAGTAAAAGGCAGCGCCTCTGGTTACAACACCCAAGGGTATATTAACACATGGGATTCACTGCCACAGGAGGGGGTGGCGGCTACAAGCACAGACGGCTTCAAGCGGGAATTGGATAAGCATATGGAGCAGAGGTCCATCGGTGGCTGCTAGCCATCAGGTATAGATAGGGACTCTCGGTCTGGGGCAAGGGATGCTCTGTATTCTTGGGGCTTTGGGGAGGCAAGAGGGCTTCTAATGTCCTGGCCCCACTGGTGGACCTCCTGGTGGCAACCTGGTATGTTTGGCCACTGTGTGACACGGAGTGTTGGACTGAAGGGGCCACTGGCCTGATCCAGCATTGGCTTCTCTTCTGTTCTTAAGGGGGTGAGCAAAGTCTATGCTACGTGGCTAACGTCTGGTTTCAGAACAGGGGCCCCATTTCTGGAGGCTCAGCCCCAAAGGGGCCGCCGTGCACTGCTAGGGGTGCAGGGGCAGGAATCCGGCCACCCCTGCTCCTGCCTGGGCTCCCACCGGACAGTGCTGTGGCGCCCACTCCGGAGGCCAGCAGTGCGGCTAGCACCTGAGGGTGGCCCACGCCAGGACGAGACCAGGCTGGTTCTTGCCCCACCTCCCCCCCCAGCTGGGACTCTCTCCTAGGAGTGCCCCCCTTCACCCGTCTGTCGGAGCGGGTGGGCTCTGACTCAGGGCGCCCAGGCTGGGATCGCTGGTGGTCTTCCTGGAGCCCCCGGGCCTCTGCTCTGTTCAGATGCACGACACACGGCAGGAGCCCAGGCCCCCCCGGAAGCCTGGCCCCATGTGTTGGTCCCGACCATCTTCCCAGGAATGAGCGGGGGGGGGG